CTCCCACCCTCCCTCGCTCCCTCTCTCCCCCTTTCCACCCCTTTTCCCCTCCTTCCCTCACCCTTCCGCCAGCTTGCCAAGCACCAGGGCCTTCCACACGTCAGTGTACGCGTGGCTGTAGACGTACCAGGCGCGGGAACACCGGGAGAGACGACTTAAGGTGACGGCGTCGAGGACGAAGAGGACGGAGTGGACCAAAACATCGTCGGCCAGGGTGGCAAAGGCACGGAGACCCAAGCCCTTCTGCCGACGCTCTATGTCCTAGAGGATGTTTCATTGCGGTGGGAATGTGTTCAGCCTACAAACGGTCAAGATAGGGGATCGACGCGCCGGGAAAATCGGAGGACCCTGCTCGGTACGGAACCACACGCACGGGAATCCACAACAAGCCTGGTCAAAGACAGCTTGGTTCCCAGATTTTTACAAAGGATCCCCGTCACGCACGAAAATTAGGTCCTCACGCACATGGCTTCATGTCCTACGTATATGCCAGTGTCATAAAATCATAAAATATAACAATAGTAATAATAATGATATATACCAGTCAAGATACCCCCCATCTTACATCGGGCATCCCCTCCGTCCAATAATTTCCCAGAGGCCGCACACCGTAGGGGTGTCTGCCCCGTTTGACGCCAGCTGTAGCGATTGTCTTTTTCCTAAGAGGCTCTACGCTATCCACACTCGTCACAATTTTTCGTTTGTCGGTGGGAGTGCTTTTTTTTTGAGGACTTGGGCGGGGGAGGGGGGGAGGTTGCGAAGTTGCACTGCTACTGCCCGTGAGAGGCGAGAAAGGGGGCTCGTTCCTGGACCCTGTGACAATGACTGCTGAGTGTGCTGCCCTTCCCGCCAGGGTTAGAGCGCTGTGGTCATGAAGAGGTGCATTCATGGCTGTGTGTGCTCTAGGTAATGGAATGAGAGAGGAATGTGTACATCCTGAGAACGAACGATTGCTCCCTCGCTGCCTGGGGATGATAGTTCGTTGAATTTATCGTAATTGTTTCCGAAGCCTGCAAGCCTCTTCGTGACAACACACCCTTATTGCACTGAGGGCTCATGAACAATCACACGACCATGGAAGGGGTCGTGCAATGCGCCTTGTCCGGGTGGCAATCGTGCGTCTCTCCCTCGCCCACGTCGCCAGTGAAGCTCAGAAAAGAGGCGTGTCAGTGTTCCCCTAGACTCACGCCGTGGCACTGCCATCTCATCACGCGAGGTCGCCCGTTTACTTCACCATTTCTTTTTCTACATCAGAGACAAACTCAGCTAGCATGCACGATGCGAAGGGGTAAACAAGGACGTGGCCAGACGCAGTAGCGGCATAGGTGGAATGAAGGACAGGGTTTCGACACTCAGAGCTTGGAAAGCCGCCATAGGTACGTGAAAAGGATCATCAAAATGCACGACGCGTAATTATACCGTGGACTGTTGCCAATCGTGTCGTGTGGCGGGAGAGCAGGCTTTTGTCTTCGGGACTCTGGAATGAGTACCCCTCGGCAAGCACCGTGCCCACCTGCTGCTCGCCGCGCATCTCCCAGAGCTTCAAAGAGCTTTGATTCCTGAGGAACGAGCTGACAATCTATATCAAACCCTCCAGCACTACCATTCTCTGCATTTGCTTACCCACAGTCCCTCCTCCCTCCTCCGTCTTTCACAGCAGGTTTCCTGGTGGTTT